GAAATCAACGTCTCTAGCGTTTTCCAAAGAGACCAAGACTTCTGCGTGCTCAACGTCAACGATGACATCTCTCACCACATCTGCTGGCATATATTCAAGCGAACCATCAGCGGCGCAGATGACAAATTGTTTACCTGGCGGTGGAGGAGATTTAATAGCAAACGAAATTACAGCTGCGAAGGTGGTCGTATCGGTTATTGCGACTTTTTGTTTATAGATTTTTGTGTGGGACTTGACCGTTATCGATCGTAGAATCGGGACATCATCTGTTAAAAAAAGAAATTATTGCGGTGTGAGTGGAAATAATGGCAACTTTGTTCGTTGATGTACTCTTCTTCCTTCCCAAATTTGTCTATCAAAGATACAAACCAGTCATCTTGTCAAATTGTACTCTGGGTGTCTTTGGAGATGAATACAATGACTCTGTATGAGGTTGGGTAACAACTAAAAGAAAAGAAACAATGGATTAGTTACGGTATTACATAATCAAGTAAGAATATAAAAATAATGATTGGGCCCGGTGCAAGCAATGTCCTTCCTACAGCCTGCCCTGCATGTCACATAACATTTCGCAGGCATTGCATGGGCTTATAAATTGGCCTGCCCTTTTTAGACAGCATTTCTAACGCTAAACCTCTAACTCTTCCTCCTCTTCTCCTCTTATGCAAATTACCCTCAAACGGGATATTAAAAATTTGGCCCACATACCTTCTGTATGCCGTTTTCTGTAAACTATCAATTGAACCTCATTCTGTTCGTTTAAACCTGTGTTCGCTTCTATGTCGATTCCCGTATTGCTTTCTTCCCCCTCATTTTTTTGTTGCCATTGGTTTATGAGTGCACCCCAAAATCGATGAAACGCAGCGTCATCCGTCAATGCCAAATGCTGAGCATCAGAACTGGTTCCAATTCGATAACTTATTTGGGAAGTGTCTACGTCTCCCCATGACGTCGGGAAGCGGAGAGCAGATATTGCAGAGTAGAGCGTCTGGAGAACATATGGCTGGGAGGAAGATTGGAAAGAAATAGGAGAAGCTGTCCGAGGGAAAAGAGTTGAGAGGAGGATTGGTTGCTGATGGGGTAAAAGTGCGAATGGAACTGATGAAGTGTCAAAGCAGATGAGAGTAATTATTTTGTGCCCAAACATGTCTGGAAACGTGTGTGAAGATAAGGAAAAAAATGAATTTGTTTAGTATTGTATTGTTAATTGTTTGTTTGATGAGACAATAATAGTAAATTCGAATAATATCAATGTTAGAAAATTAATAAAATAATAACATGAATATCAACATTATTTTTCTCGGGTAATGTCCATGTGGTTTCCTCCTGTTTGCTATTCTTCTTGTAATTACTATGCTATATGGTAGTATGTAAATTGTCTTCCCGCTTGTATTGTGTGTAACATTGCACTTTATTGTGTTTTTTAACCTCTTTTCGTATTATCGCATATTTACCCTGTGAAGATATCGTATCTTCAAAAGCAGTTGTCTGCGCATCACTATCATCGATTCCACGTAGGCTATCAAAATCAATCTCCCCACTAAAACTTCCAACAACATCGGTATCAGGAGCGTTATCGTAATTCTGACCTGAATTCTCATACTCGGCCCTGTTTGTGTCCATCGCTTGTTCTTCGCTTGCGCGTAATTCATCCAAGGCTTGTTTAATTATAGGACCCATTACGCTTCCATCCCAACCGTGGCCCAAAGCAATGTTATACGCTTGTATGTGTTGCAGATATTGTTCCAGAGAACCAGCTTTGATCAAGGCTTTACGTTTGCTGTCTATATATTCCTGAAGTGTTTGCTTTGTTATAGGAAAATAGGTCATCGATTCTCCCGGATGTAGAGACTTTATGACATTAATGAAATTTGTTACGCCTACTCGCGAAGCGCGGGTTAAGATGCTGGGTTGTTTACGTTTTTGTTTCTTTGATGATTCAGCTGATGCATGTTCTCTTATTGGTGGCATTACGAATCAATATTTTGTGTAGTAAAGAAAGGAGCGAGTTATAATTTAGCTGTTCAAGAAATAATGATGCTGAATATGCGTGACGTGTTTAAAACTGCGTCGTCGGTAAGTATGTGATATGATTTGTTGTTTGGGATAGACTTTCATTAAGTAACGAAGCAAAAAGATATGATAAAATCTTGTGGAAGAGTGGTTGTCTATATAATAATCAGATCTTTTGTCTGACTTATTAGGAAAGCGAGTAACACGTTTAAATCAATAAACTATTGAGCCTAAAAAAAAACATGGATAGATGCGAGGTCAACGGCAGGATCAGAAGAGATTATATTAGAATATATACTAGCTAGTTTACGATTTAAATAACAGTTATCTTCAATGGCGTATTAAATAAACAATAAACGCATTGTATAATCGGTTTTGTTCGTTTGGAATAGTAAATTTGATATACTGCGCTTATAGAAACGTAGAAAGAAGAAAAACCAATCATGTTTAGAACATGCAAAGCGCACTGGGAGTGTACCACAATATTCTAAGACGGCCTCGTTAAAAAGGAATTGATAGAAAAATGCCCATTATTGTCATCTCATGCGGCAGCTAATCTTTAGAAAAGTTCGGCTAAAAGCTAGCTCCTGTTACTACAAATATTACCCGTCACCGTCACCGTTACTATCACATCGCCAGTCATCACATTTTATTAATTAGTCAAAGAATATTGCAAGAATAAAATAGCTGTCACTATTACATCATCGTTCGAAAACAATGAGCAGCTCTTAGCTTTGTAATAAATTTATAATTATGAACTCTATTTATAGGGTACTATTAGAAATATACAGACTTCCCGCTTAATATATTAATATTACAATTGGCTCGGATTCTAACTCCAAATATAAAGCATATAAACACAGTTGAATATAATTGGTGTGACACAATATATCATTATATTGAATATGTTTATATTGTAATATGCAACCAACCGTAGATGTAATACAGGCAACATCTCCATTCTGTTCTGTGTGATACAAGTCTCTTACAACAGGGATTGCAGTCAGCAAAGCCGCATTCCGATCATGTGTGTTACAAATGCACCCCCAGCATAAATGGCGTAAAGGCTTCGCCTACATGTATAGGTCACTTATTTTCTATAAAAGCACCGCGGTCATTGATACGCACACAACATTGCATCTGACATGCCGGCGTAAATTAAAGGCGAAAATATGCGCTAGATTATTAAGTGGACAATTTTTGTCAATGAAATAAATAACACAGAACGCTGGATAAATCCATTGTCATATAATACTTGTAATTTTATTGACAATATAAAAATACAATACCTATTTGCATGTTTGTATGGGCTCAATACGCAAAAAAAATTTTTTTTTTCGTATATTACCAACAATCACCGAACATATTGATTCTTCAATACAATTTATCTGTCGTGCTATGTAAAGCCTAATAAAACGAAAAGAGATTTTACGATTCGCTCGGAGAACACGGAACTTTAGAGTGGGGAAAACGTAAAAAAAAAACTCTGATTACAGGACGATAGCGGATATTTTAAAAGATGTATGCAGAGATAGGGAATTTGTGTGGGAAGAACGTAGCGAGCGGAAAGCAAGCAATATGCAAAGCATGTGTTTAATTTAACTAAATGGCACACGACTTTATTAAGCCAATGCA